GGGGGGGGTCTCTCGTTATTATAGTAGGTCAAGCAGAGACAACTCACCTGTAATTGTGTACATCTGTATGCCGGGGCTGTACTGCTCCTGGCTCAGCAGTATGGGTGGGATCACCTCTTTGGTCGGTACGCGCACTGTCTCGTTGGCTGAGTTGAACCCCATCATGTTGCCTGGGATCTAGCAGAGAAAGAGCATACAGAAGATTAATTAACATACTGAACTTAATATTTTTTTTATTTCGTTGGTCGCCACTCGCACTGTCTCGTTGGAGGAGTTGAACCCCATCATGTCGCTGGGAATGTAAGGGAAACAAACAGGCACAGGATTATCATACTGGCGTTAATCTAGATGTATCTTGTTTCTTCCTTAAGCAAAACTCGCACTATCTCGTTGGCTGAGTGGAACCCCGTCATCTTGACTGGGGTCTAGGGAGACACACAGGTAGAGGCTAATGGTGAAGTCAATATTCTATTTATTGGTCGGCGCACACATTATCTCGTAGGCAGAATTAAACAGCATCATATTGCAAGGGATTTAGGGATAATAAACAGGCAGCCGATTAACATACCGACGTTAATCTATTTTGCTTTCTTCTTAGACTAGTATTCTACTCGTTGGTAGAGCTGAAGCCCATTTAATATGTGCCAGGGATCCAGGGGAGATAAACAGGCGTGATGTCAGTATTCTTCTAGTAGTTACTTCCTTGGTAGGTACAACCACTACGTTCTTGGCAGAATTGAAATCCATCTTATTACCAAGGATCTGAAGGAAACAAACAGGTAGAGGGTTAACATTCCGAAGTTAATTCATTTTGTTTCTTCCTTGATTGGTATTAGCACCGTCTCCCTGGTAGAGTTAGAAGCCCATTTATGTGTCCATGATCTAGGGGAGACAAACAGGCAGAGGATTAACGTGAACTTAATTAATTTTTTTTTACGTCTTTGGTTGCGACGTTGAGACTCGCATGGTGTAATGTTTTGTTATTATCATTATTATTTTATATATATATATATATTATTATTATTATTATTATTCATTTTTTAAAAATTATTATTATTCCATTATGCAGGAGTATTTACGCTCCACTGTGCATCGTCACAATTTATACCATTTAGAAGATGCGTTTTGGCCCTACCTGTTAAGGCAAACTCGGGCGGAAAGGAATTCACCATCCCAGCAAGATGACCGACATACTAGAGGCACTTTCCTCTCCATTCAGTAATCGAACTCGGGTATCCTGCGTGCCATGGCGAAGGGCATAACCGGTACTCCAAGGAACAGGTCTCACTGCCACGTTGGCAGAGTTAAAAAAACTCTTCTATCGTGACGTTGTCAGATGTCCATGGGAGATAACCGGGCAAAGGATTACCGTGCTGAAGTTAATATTCTATTGGTTACTTCCCTTCGATGTTCACGAGTTGCATAGTATATGACGTATAGATATTGATATAATATTTTTGACTTGGTAGAGGAAAGTGAAGTGATTTAAGAGATAATATTAAACCCATATGAAAAAAAGAGTTAATGATAACATGCGTTAGTTTCTTAATGTCCTTCAAAGTTTCAACACATTACATTTAAATATTTCAATAGACGAATTAAAACGGGTATGCCGTTCTTTTGTGCCTTGTTGATGCCTGCAACGTGAGAAGGAGGTGACTGAGAGTGTTCGTGAGGAATCGAACTCGGGTCTTTTGCGTTCGATGGTTAAACGCATAACCACTACATCACAGACGCCGGTAAAAAGAGAGATACAGACAGATAGATAGGTAGACAGATATTATGCATAATATGTATAGATAGATATGAAGATAAATCGAGAGACAGTAAACATTATATTATTATAAAGAGAAAGAATGAGTGAGTGAGAGAAAGAAAGAAAGAGAGAGAGAGAGAGAGAGAGAGAGAGAGAGAGAGAGAGAGAGAGAGAGAAAGAGAGAGAGAGAGAGAGAGAAAGAAAGAGAAAGAAAGGGAGAAAGAGAGAGAGGGAGACCCAAGAAAAGTAAAAACACCTACATAACTATCGAGATCAACATAAAATATAATGCTATTACCTCCCCTCTGCAAACCAGGCTTGCCATAAAACACATGAAGTGTTTCTTCTTTCACAAACGCAATTGTAGGCATAATGGCCCGTAGTTATATACCTCATTTTCCCCTTCCTTTAAACAATTTATGAAGGCAATATACATATATCTCGTATACATGTATCTCGACAGAAACTCAGCACTTTTGTAGAAACAGACAGCAATATATCATTTCGGTGTACACTTTTCAAGGCGAATACATGAGATAAAGAACATGTGGTATTTGGGTGCGCAGACTCAAAGACACCTTGAAGACGCTCTGTTGACAATATAGAATGTTAGAGGATCAGAGTGACTAACTAGAGATAGTTGATGTGCAAGTTAAAGAAAATGATGAACGCAATATTTAGGAAATCACACTTCATGTTTTAAAATCCCGTGAAAAATTTGCGTCTCCGTTGTCTCGAGTAAAAGTTGAATAGAAGTTTTTATTCCACAGAGATCATATTTTAAGAAAATGATTTAAGACTGTTCCGGTTTGTTTCTGTTTTTTCACATTAATAAGATTTACAATCTCCTGTTTCCCTTTTCGTATTCAACCCTATCCGTAGTTTATGTGTCTTTAAAAAAGTTGATATCTTTCACTGACATAAAACATGTACTTTTTACTCGTTGATGTCATTATTCATATCTTTGTGTTTTTGGCGATGATTTATATATCTTGTTAATTGTACATAAGTTGGTCAGTTTTGTCATCTATTCGTCTATTTTTCTTCGAAATATTTATGCACCTTCCAATCAAAACACTCATCAATGAAGCATAAACTATTTCTTAGTTGTGTGCTAACACATTTGGATTCCATTTTTTGGTCTGATTTATTGAGCTCATAAATGATTTACATAATTTACGGCACTGAATTCATGGATGTGTTTGGAGAAGGAAGGGTTTAGATACAGATGAGGTAGGCTAGGGGAAGACCAGGACGGTCTGACCGGAGAGAGAGAGAGAGAGAGAGAGAGAGAGAGAGAGAGAGAGAGAGAGAGAA